AGCCAGCCAGGCATCCCCAAAATAGGATTTCATTAAAAGGGGGAACATGGGATGCCTGGGTGACACAGCTGTTGGGCGTCTGCCTTCGGCTCAGGTCAGGATCCTGGTCTGGGATTGAGGCCCGCATCGGGCTCCATGTGAGAAGCCTGCTTCTCCCTCTGTCTATGTCTCTGCCTTTCCCTCTGTGTCTCTCATAAATAAATTAATTAAATAAAATAAATAAAAGGGGGAACATGAGTGATGGATGGGAGCTGATTGTGGTAATCCTTCTGCAACATCTATGTGTATCAAACAATTATGTTGTGCACCTTACACTAATACAATGTCATATGTCAATTACATCTAAATAAAACGGAGGAAAAAAAGTGGAGGAAATTTTTTAAATTTTAAATTTTTAAAATGCAGAAAACTTGACTTCCTGGCTTTCAATTAGCTCAGTTGGTAAATGAGTGCAGTCAAGGCCACCAAACACCTTAGTTTGCCCGCAGCTCTCTAAAGGGCAGGTACCAGAAGCTTTGTTCTTTGTTGATGGGGGTCTTTGCCTGAAAGCCTGGGCTGAATTCACCCCCATCCCCCACCCGTGTCTCATTGTATTTAGGGTCAGAGCCCTCTGCAGTGAAAGACCAAAGGGAAGGGGGCTGGTAGCTAGAAGGCAAACTCACTACATTCTTTGCCCAGGAAAGCAATTTGAATAAGGTTGAGAATGCTTGGGAAGGTGTCAGAGACCTTGAATTTGTGGGGTGGGCTGTGTGTTGGAGGAGGGGTGTGTTATAATGTGCTTAGAGTCCAGGGCTGTAAATGCAAAAGTGATTTTAGATTTTGTCTTCCTAGGAGCATAATCCAGAAGGGGGAAGAAAAACAAGAGCTGAATATTAAAAATGAAAAATATTTTCACTTAAAGGTAAGAAATGCACCGCAGGCAATGTGATGTTTTAAGAGCACAGATGTCCCAACTTTGCATCAGAGTTTGGTGACCTGTCAGGATAAGGAAGAAGTGGCAAACATTATAAGTATTTTTTAAAAAGATTTGATTTATTTATTCATGAGAGACACACAGGGAGAGGCAGAGACATAGACCCGGGATCGAATCCCACGTCAGGCTCCCGGTGCATGGAGCCTGCTTCTCCCTCTGCCTGTGTCTCTGCCTCTCTCTCTCTCTATCATAAATAAATAAAAATTTTAAAAAGTCTTAAAATGGAGAGACAATGATTAAACGCGTGTCTGGAATTAAAAATTACAATTAGTGAGAATTCTCTTGGTACATCACAACAGGAAAATTTTGTTCTTTGCTTCTGGAGGAACACCCTAGAACAGATAACCAAAAAAAAAAAAATTTAAAAATAATACAAAGGGGAGCTAAATACCTGAACATTTGAACAAAATGAAGCCAGATAAAAAAAGAAAGAAGGGGGAAAAAAACAAAAACAAACAAAAAAAAAAAACACAACCAAAACCATTGCAAGATATGGAAATTACATTTTAAAGGCTGGAAATAATAAAGAAATTCACCAAACAACAGGCCCTATTGTCCTGGCTCCTTCAGGAAGATTACAGAAAGGAAACTAGGAAGTGGTTTGGGGAATAGCAGATTCTGGGTTATGGTGGGAAGTTCACAGGTTGGCACCGGCTGGAACAGCTGAGTTTTGAAGGCACTCTGCAGACACAGGGGTGCTGGGGCCCTGAATCACATTTTTGAAGTCTTTGTACTGTATTTTAAAGAGCTAGTCATCAAAACCCGTCACTGACAACCAAAAAGAAAAGCTAAACTTAAAAACAAAAAAAAAAAAAAAAAAAAAAAAAAGAAACCCAAACACACACACACACACACACAACAGTACACACAAAAATGTGCAGATCTGTAACATTTATTTTCACAGCTGATAAAAAAAATACTACCGTTCTCCCCAGACTCCCCTTTGATACAGTAGGTAAACAAAATAGATTTTTTTTCCCACAAATATCAGCAGACACTTTCTGGCACCCCACACTGCATTGGCATCAGTGTTTACAGTCCCAGTTCAGATGTGCATACTTCAGATTGGATACACTGTAACAAGAATCCAACTTTGCATAGACATCCTTAGAATCACAACCAGTCACAGGGTTGCCCTTCCAAGCTGGCAGAAAAGGAACCCGATCTTTAATTTCCAGCTCCTCCTGGAAAAAAAAAAAAAAAAAAGGAAAAAAAAAAAAAGCCAACACAAAAGTTTCTTCCCTTCCTCCTGTCCTGCTCCTTCATTTGGTTCTCCCGGACTTCCTTCCATGTGGAACTACAAAAAGGGGTGGTTGGAGGCAAAAGAAAAAAAAAAAAAAAAAAAAGGAAAAATTACCTCCCCCTCCCTTTCTACCTCCCCATTTATTTATTTATTTATTTATTTATTTATTTATTTTTTATTTTTTTTTTTTTTTTTTTTTGCAGGCTGAAACTTTGGCCCGTGTCGAGCTGCCCACACAGCGCCCTAACGGCTCCTTACACGGGGAGTGGGGTGGAAAAATCCGCGTCTCCCGGGGTCGACGAGCAGCGTGCATGCAGCAGGAGCCGCCGCCGCGGGGCCGCCCCGGGGCTGCACCGGGGCTCGGGGCTCGGGGGGGGAGGTCGGGAGGTCGGCGGAGGTCGGCGGAGGTCGGCGGGGTCGGGAGCCGGGCGGTGCAGCCCAGCCGGGCCCCCAGCACCCCGCCCCCGCCCTGGGGCCGAGGCACAGCGGCCCCGAGGTCCGCGCGAGCGCAGCGCATCCCCCGCGCGGGGGGGCGCGCGTGGCTCCCGCGCGGGCGGCGGCTCAGAGGATCACGCAGGCCGAGCAGCAGCCCTCGTCGCCGTTGGGCTGCGCCGCGTAGTTCATCTGCCGCACGATCTCCGCGAACAGCTCGTCCACCGAGGCTTTGTTTTTGGCCGACGTCTCCATGAAGGGGCAGCTCCACTCCTCGGCCAGGGCCTTGCCCTCGCCGTACGACACCTCGCGCTCGCCCTCCAGGTCCACCTTGTTGCCCACCAGGATCATGGGCACGCGCTCGTACCGCTTGACGCGGATGATCTGGTCCCGCATGCGCTTGATGTCCTGGAAGCTCTGCTGGTTGACCAGGCTGTAGACGAGGATGAAGCCCTGGGCGTTCTTGATGTACAGGTCCCGCATGGGACGCGAACTGCTCGGTGCCCGCCGTGTCCAGGATCTCCAGCACCGACGGCGACGAGTCCACCTCGATCTCCGTGCGGTAGAAGTCCTCGATGGTGGGGTCGTACTTCTCGATGAAGGAGCCGGTCACGAACTGCACGGTGAGCGCCGACTTGCCCACGCCGCCCGAGCCCAGCACCACCACCTGGTACTCTCTCATGGCTCCGCCGGGCTCGCCGCGCGCCCGCCGCGGCGGCCCCGTCGGGGGTGCGCCGCGGGGAGCCTGGGCTCGTCGGCTGCACGACCTGCCCCGGGCTCAGCCTGGCGGTGGCGGCGCGGCGCGCGGGAGGACAATGGGCCGGTGCGGCGTCGGCGGCGGCGCGGCGGCGGGCCGGGGGGCTGCTGCTACTGCGCGCGGCCCGGGCGCGCGGCCATGGGGCTGCAGCGGCGCCCACCGCCGCCGCGGCCCAGCGCGGGGCAGCCTCCGCGGGGCGACGGCTTGCTCGCCGCGCGCAGCCCGGCCCTCCCCGCCTCGGCGGGCCGCCCGTGCGCCGGACGGCCGCCCGGGGCCCCGGGGCCGCGCGGGGGCGCCCACCGCCGCGGTCCAGCGCGCCTGAGAGGGGCTCGGGATCGGGCCCGCTGGGGCTGGGCCTCCCGAGAGCGGCCTGTGCGGGGCTTCGGCACGAGGGGCGGGGCCTCATGCGGGGGCGGGGCTCCTCGGGGCCGCGCGGGGAGCGGCCTGCGAGGGCCGGGGCTGGGCGTGGGGGCGGGGCTCCCGCCTCGGCGGCGCGGGGGCGGGGCCGGGTTTTCCGGGGGCCGGGCAAGGGGCGGGGCGCGGCGGGGAGGGCGGGGGGCGGGGCGGGGCCTCCCTGGAGCGGCCTGCGAGGGGCTCGTGGGGGTCGGGGCACGAGGGGCGGGACCTCATGCGGGGGCGGGGCTTGGCCTGCGAGGGGCGAGGGGCTGGGCGTGGGGGTGGGACCTCGCGCGGGGGTTGCCATTGGCTGCCGCCGAGGCTCCCGCCCTGCGGCGGCTTCATTGGCGGAGAAGTAGCCTCGGCTCGCGATTGGCGCCTGCGGGCCGCGTGGGCGGGGGCGGAGCGCAGCTGTTCCTTCCCCGCTGCTCCCCGCCCCCTTCCTCCCGCTGCCCCCGACCTAGTCGTTCTGGGAGCCCGGGGTGCAAAAAAAGAAGAGGAGTTGAGGCGGAGGCTCGGCGCTAAATATAGTGCATCGCCGGTGCTGCGGGGCGAGCCTGGCTGCGGGCGCCCTGCCGCCGAGGCGGAGTTTGCAAAGTGCGCGGCTGGGCGGGGGGGAAGTGCTCCCCGCCCCCTTCCTCCCGCTGGGGGACGGGGTGGGGCGTGCAATATAGTGCATCGCCGGGGGCCACCCGGAGGCTGCGGGCTCCTGCGGAGTTTGCAAAGTGGGCTGGGGGGATGCCCAGGGGGGCTTGTCCTTCTGCAGGCGTCTGGTCTGGGTTTGGGGCGGGCCGCCTGCACGTCGGGCTGGGCTCGCGGCCGCGGGAGGGGCGGGGCGCTGCTGCCTCGACCTGCCCCAGCCTCCCTGCCTCCTCGCCCGGGGCCCGGTCCCGGGACCTGTCGGAGGGCCCGCGTGTGCACGAGCCCCGGAGCCGGGGGTGGGGGTGGGCAGGGGGCACGAGCTGCGTCAACCCCCAGCTCCGAGTCTGCACTTTTTTTTTTTTTTGTTTTGCAAGCCGAGGCTACTCGCGCTCGGCGTGCGCATCGGACGAGATGCGCCCGGCTGCGTGGCGAGCGCTGGGTTTGGGCCCCGGGTCCGGCCACGCTCGCGGGCTGACCTGCCCCGAACCGCGGAGGCGCAGCCCGAGTCCCCACCCGCCCCGGCGGGACGTGGGTGCAGCCGCCGCCTGGGGGGGAGGGGAGGGGGTGCTGGGGGTGCCCGCCCCGCCCTCACGGTGGAGCGCAGAGAACGTGTTTTAACCTTCACTATCAGAGAGCCCGCCTCGAACTCTGTGCTTATGTAATTCTCCAGAAAAAAAAAAGAAAGAAAAGAAAAAGAAAAAAGCACCGCACCTGTCAGGCACACCCACCTCCTGCAGCCGAGAACCCCCGCAGCACTGACCCAGCGCTGAATGTCTGCAGAAGGTCCCGCACGGCTCCGCGCCGCCTCACAGGCCTTGCTACACCTGTTTTAAAGAGGAAGAAACTGAGGTCCTGGGATGTTGGGTGACTTGCCTGCGATTTCCCAGCGGGTGAGTGGCCGGGCTAGGACCCCGGCCTCCGTGTTGGGCTGCAGAAGCTGGCGTGTGCCTCTCAGGCCCTACTGTCTCCTCTCGGGGATGTCCCCAGGTTGTACTCTTGCTTAGGGTCAGCCTTGGGGGCGTGAGGTCAGACTGTCTCCACCCCAAGGGAGAGGGACCTCTGCCCACCGCCCCGGGGCTCTCCCCTGGTGATGCACCTTCCCGCAGGGTCAAGGAAGCTGAACCCGCTTCTAGGCCAGGCTCCAGGGAGTCAGAATTCTGGAATCCTCTGCCCAAATAGTACCCAGACCCTCCTCCTCCAGGACTTGCTTGGACTTTTGAACTCAGTCCTGTGTCCAGGGATGGCTGTTTGTTGGGCTGAGGTGTGCACTCCCAGGTGCTGTGGGCTCCCAGTGGGTGCAGGAAGGGTCCTCCATGGAGTCAGCTTTGCTTCCCTTCCCCTTTCCAGCCTCCTCCTTGGAAGAGTCCCGAATTCCTGATTCACACCCTGCAGGTCCTTGTAAGGAGGTATTTGTCAGGGTGAGAGGATACATCGATCCTATTTTGTTAACAGTTTGCTATCTTGATTTATAACTTAAGTATTTAGAGTAATGCTATGTGGGCCTTTCTTTGTCCTCTTGCCCACAAATACTAGGAAGGGTCCTGAGTCTGACATAATAGAAAATACTTTGTCCTTACAGGTCTGGTGTCTCGTCTCAAGAACTGGGTATCAGTTATTATCTGAGACCTTGGGCGAGTCCCTTGAGCTCTCTTGACTCTAGTTTCCCCGTCTATAAAATGATGATAATAAAATTTGCCCTATGTACGTACCTAGCTACATGAGGAACCTTGGAGAGAATCTAGTGACCAAACCCCTCATTTTGCATCAGAGAGAAGGGAGCAAAATTAGAACCCTGGTGTCCTGGCTGCACTTTACATGGTGCCAGCCTGTCCTCAGGGAAAATAATTGACAGATAATGGATGGAAACATGCTTTTAAAGCTGCAGAGCCCCATGAATGCATGGCAGTTACTACTCTGACCCAGCTAGCCTCACAGCCTGGTCTAGAAGATTCCCTCCTCAGGACCTCAGGTCGTCACGTGGATCGGTATTACTGAATCTTGGTACCAGTACCAGAAAGATGCCACAGTGTGAATACTGTCTATTAGGGATTCTTCGGTAGTAGTGTTTATTACGTTCAGGTGCTCTCTCACAGACAGATTTGCACTAGGACTTTGGGATTCAAAATGAAGTAAAGAAACTGATGACACATATATTTTTAGGATTGGTCACTTCCTCCTGTGAAATCTGTTAGGTGTCTTTACCTCACTTAGGGCATGAATCATTATCTGTCCTCTACCGTAATTATTGACACGTCTGTGTCTTGTCACCCAGCACCTTGGGAATGCCTTGAGGGCAGAGGCCATATCTGGCTTATCTTTGGAGTCATCTCTGACCCTCATAACACCTAGTACAGTGCCTCCGCGGGAGGCCCTCCATAAATATTTATTGATGAAACTAGGAAGTTCATTTTATTCCTTTTCCAAATTCCACTTGTAGTAGAAGATTATATTAATCCATGGTGAGACATAACACTTCCTGGATCCTTAGAAAATGTATAACGAAAGTCTCCCTGAGTCATAAAAATGACTTTTTTTATTTATTTAGATCTCCCTGAGTCAGGCAGAGGGAAAAATGACGGGAGCCCGACGTTTCGAAGATTCTGCCCTGAGCAGCCACCCAGGATCCCTAAAAATGACTTTTAAGATGAGCAGAGTCTATCCTTATTTGGGTGGAAGCACTAAATCGGTGCTGTCTTGGAGAAAGAACCAAGCATCCAGTGGATAAACCCTTTCTCTGAAGAAGACTTAACTTTTGCACGTAACCTGAAAAGGTATTTCTAGGAAATAACCTAATGTAAAAGCTACCAGGTAAGGACTGCTTAAGCACTGAATGTATGTATGTTGCCCAAACCAGGGTACCCTCCTTTGTTTTTGCTCCCACAGCGGGGACTGCTGAGCTTCTGTGACACTGAGATTGGGCCTTCGGACAATGAGATGGTTTGTTGGAATCCAGGTCTTCTAAGTCCTCAAGAACATAAGCCACCTACCTGCCTCCACATTTATAGAAAGCAGAGGTTTATTTCATCATGCTTCTAGCTTTAGCTGATGCCACTTCTTGTTTTCTTCGAGCATTTTTAAGGTGTCTTTTTCTTTTTTTTTTTTTTTTTTTTTTTTTATGGCCCTGCTTTGCTTTTCATTTGAAAGGAGAGCATCGGTAAAGATGGAGCAATTGAGATCTAAGCAATAGGAAGTCTGCAGAATGGGAGTTTCTGGGGAGAGGACCAAGGAGGAGTCTGAGGACTCTAGTGGGAAGCCTGAAGATACATACTTTCTCTCCAACAGTCAAGAAAAAGCCAAGAGACCTGAAGTGGAGCTTGAGAGGGTGAGAAGTTGAGGAAGTTCAAGCTACAAGCAACCTTCTCTCCATAAATAAAAAATGGCAAGGCACCTGCTGAAAGAAGGGAGGTCAGGTGTGGGCTTGGGAATGAGTAGAAATGAAACTTTTTAACAGTGACTGTGCAGTACCACAGTATGATGTTGCTAACCTGCTAAATTTGGTTTACGTGAATTTGTGAAGATGCCAATTCGACTTTCTTTTTTTTTTTTTTTTTTTTTTTTTTAAAGAAGGATCTTGATAATTCCTCTTAAGTCTGGTGGGTTTCTGTTAAAATCCCTGAGGGTTTTGTATCAACACATACAAACAAATAATTATAAAAGTAACTGTATCTCTCACATGTCAACATTAGTGAAAATACACAAACCACTGACTTATGTGATTAAAAGTTTTGTTACTAAGGGGAAATTAAATGAACTCAATAAAACTGTCTTACCTATGTGGTCTCTTGAGTTTTTCTTTCTGTTGCATGCTAAATTAAAATAAGACCTTGAGTACCTAAGCTAAGCTCAGAGAAGGAGTCGCTTTGAGTACTAGGATATTTGTCTAGAAAATGTTGTACTTGTGTAGGATTTTCTGTCACAATAAGGAAAATAGTTATGTCATTTTCATTAGATAAGTAGCATATGTTTATGGTAAGGAATTTGGGATGTTTAAAAAAAAGCAGAAAGAATAAAGTAAAACTAACCAATTACCACCACCCAACCCCCCAAAAAAAAACCCTGACCTTTTTTTATATTCTTTTCTTGTCTTTTATTATAGAATTATTTAAAAGGTAGAAAACTAGCTCTAGTGTTCTCGTGGCTATTTGAGTTTCCAGCTCAAGGTAGGGTTCAGTTATTCTATAGCCAAGAAATTAAAAGTCAAATAAGACAAATATCTTAAGTACTCCTTTATCAAAGAATTCTCCTCTTGTATTTAATGGGTTTTCGATGGGACTACTTGTGTCTCATAGGCTAACATTGCCCGGGAAGTTCCTTTCTTGGCAAAGTCCCCGAGGACAACCTGGTTTGGGGGGTGTTTGGCCAGAAGGTGGGATGAAGCATGTCCAGGGTCATGACCTCCGGGTGTCAGAACACAGCAGCCTGTCTGCACAATTAGCGAGTGAATCGAGGGCTTCAGCTGCATTCTCCCAAATGGTTTTGTCCCTCTCCAGAAATGATCTTCCTCTTTGTGGCAAACGGTGCCCGTTGATGTGTCAGCACCATTCAAAGCCTCCCTGTGACTTCTGCATCATTAACACATTTGTGCTTTCTCTGTCGCTTTGCACCCAGGCGTCCTCCCATCTCTTTTGCCCTCAGTTTTCCCCGGGGCTTATAGGAGATCTGCCCCCCTCACTCCTTCCGTGTGTCCGACTGTGTTTGGGAACTGAATTATTCTCAAGGCTGCAAATTCTTTATCAGGCAAAAGAAGAAGAAAAAAGATACTTTTGCTGACATGGTTTTAGGCTGAAATTTGCTCTCAACTGTTCTCGGTGTCTGATGTGAATAGAATACCAGGCATAAGCAACATTTAAAATTGTATATTCATTTGTAATAATGGAAAGGAAATTTCTGAAAATTACATGTCTGATAAATCTACTTTCTCATCGAACCTCATATGCAGTGAAATTTCCTATCTTGAATAACATGTTATTTATTTATTTATTTATTTATTTATTTATTTAAATTTTTATTTATTTATGATAGCCACAGAGAGAGATGAGAGAGAGAGAGAGAGAGAGGCAGAGACACAGGCAGAGGGAGAAGCAGGCTCCATGCACTGGGAGCCTGACGTGGGATTCGATCCCGGGTCTCCAGGATCACGCCCTGGGCCAAAGGCAGGCGCCAAACCGCTGCACCACCCAGGGATCCCGAATAACATGTTTTCTATAGGGTGACCCAGGAAGTTAATATTTGGTGGCTGGAAGAGAGAAATAACATTCACAGATACCACTGTATTTCCTCTGGCCAAGCTGAATAATTCTGTAAAAACAGAATAGTTTTGTTATCCTAGGAAAGCCCGTAGTTCTGAAAAGATCCTTCATTAAACGTAAATTAAAATGGTGGGAGGAGGTTGGGTTGGGCAAGTGACACAGTCTTTGACTCTCCAAGCATTATTTGTGCTCTGTAAGCGACAGGTAACCTCCAGGATGCTTTGGGACCATGCCATGTAATTTCCCAAATATTAAACAGCCTATTTTTATTCTGTTGGATTCAGATATACTTTTATTAGTGTATAAAGCTACAAGTGCAATTAGGCCAACTCTATATGACTTTTATGTTTCAAGAATTACAGCTGGAGCCTAAGGTGGCTTCATTCTACGATGTGGGCATGCCAAGGAGGAAGGTCCAGGACAGTGACTTGACTGCACTCTTCTGTAAGGGACTTGAGAAGTAGGAGAAGAGGTGGTTGAGGCTCATAAATGTGGTTCAAGGACAGTAGAAATCACCAGACAAAGAGAAGTCTGTCAAATGTGGTGCCCACCTCTCAGGTTACCCTTTGGGATTGCCCCATGAGACTCCCGAGTGGAAAGCAAGTGCAGTAGCAGCAAAGTCTCTAGACCACTGAGACGGTGAGGCACCAGCAGCATTTGGCCCACAACTCCGCAACATCTGATGCTGGGGCCTGCAGTTTTGGGCAGCTGCAGCCGCTACAGAGGGTTCCAGGGTGGACCTCTACAGCAGGGCCTATCTCTTCAGTGAGTAGCAGCAGAAAAAGAGTCACTTTGGGCATTGGTAGCTGCAGCCAAGACCTCGATACAATGAGCTGACACAGGAGCAAAGGGAATGGTCCAACCCATAGAGCAGTCGGGGAGGCTGGTCAGGGAAAAGGCAGGAGAGACACCCCGTAGAAGTTTCCAGCACTGTTTGCAAAAAATTAACTTCCCACGCTGTTGTTAGAATCTAAGGAAAAATAATAATTATGAGATACATCACTGTGGTTGTCTTACCCCTCGGCCGGCATAATGTAGGAATTTAGGTTACATGGCAAATTGTTTAGAAATAAGTTTTCTTAACAAGCCACAAAACTTTTTAACACCCCCTCCTTCCCTTAGGATTTGCTGATCTTATTTTTAACATCTTCTAAAGTTGCCTCACACTGAAAGAATTAGAAATACTCATGGCTGCACTTAACTGGAAACCCAACTAAGGGGATGGGGGCTAAACAAATAAAAGTTTATTTCTCACATAACAAGAAGTCTGGAATTGGAGTTCTTCTGGATGTGGTTCAACAGTGAAGAGACATGAGACCCAGAGATCAGAGTCTGCCTTTGCAGCAGGGAGAAGGGGGGGGGGGGGCATGCACCAAGAGAACCTTCTGTTTTATCAAGAAACAGAAGCCCCCGGGTGGCTCAGCAGTTGAGCGTCTGCCTTTGGCCCAGGACATGATCCTGGAGTCCTGGGATCGAGTCCCATGCTGGACTCCCTGCATGGAGCCTGCTTCTCCCTCTGCCTGTGTCTCTGCCTCTCTCTCTGTGTCTCTCATGAATAAATAAATAGAATAGAATCTAAAAAAAAAAAAAAAAAAAAGAAAAGAAAAGAAAAAAGAAAAGAAAGAAAAAAAAGAAAAGAAACAAAAGCACCAAGAGGCTTGCAGTTAAATTTCCTTGGCCAGTGCTGAATGCTCTTCTAGCTGTGAGGGAGCCTGGGAACATTCCCATTTAACTTTTCCACCTTGTACAGTGAAGGAAGACAAGACAGAAATACCTAAAGAATGGTGTTGGGTAAGTGAGCCCACGGTGTTTACCCCAAACATCAAACCACTCTTCCGGAACTCGGGATTTTTTCTGGGCAATTCGATTTGCACATCATTTTTTTTTCAGGCCTGTTCATTAAACATTGGTGTGAAAATAAAGTACCATCTCTTATCTTTTCATCGAAAAACCACATTTAAAAACCCCTATTTGTTTTCAAGTCTGGTTGTGCATGCGATACAACGCCTTGGTCAACCCAACTTTGGTTTACACAGAAACCTGCAAAAAAAAAAAAAAATTAACTTTTTGAAAAACAAATTCAGATTCTCGATGTCCAGAAACTCCCAATGGAACTTCGGTCTGACAGACGTACTTTCCAATTTTGGCTCAGTCACTTCCTAGATGTAAAACCGGATGACTTATTTCACCTCTGGGGTGGCCAGTCTCCCGGCTGGCTCCCATGGTGCCCACCTCCTGGCATTCATACCCTACATAGTCCCGTCACATGGTGTTTCAGTGTTGACCTGTATGACCAATGGACCATGATAGAAGTGGGGTGTATCGCTTCTAAGAGTAAATTATAAAAGATTGTAGCTTCTCTGCCTTGGGCTCTGTCTTTTGAATTTCTCAATCTAGAAGAAGTCAGCTGCCACATGTTCAGGACGTCCAGGCAACCGTGTGGCGAGGCCCATGTGGCTAGGGCCTGGGGTCCTTACTTCAACTGCGATGAGTAACTGGGGCCTGCCAGTAACCCAGAAAGTGCACTTGGAAGTCAACACCGTCCAGCATTGAGATGGCTGCTTCCCCAGCAACAGCTTGACTGCAGCCTCATGAAGGAACCCTGAGCCAAAACCATTCCGCTAAAGCTGCTCCCAGACTCCTGACCCTCAGAAACTGGAAGATAATAAAAGTCCCTTCTTTTAAGTGTCCATACCTGGGGGGGGGTAATCTGTTGTACAGCAAAAGGTAACTAATATAACTTCTTTAGACTGCAGGGTCATCATCTGTAAACTGGGAATATAAATGATTGTTACGAGGATAGTACGATAACCATGCGTGAAACTGCCCCATGAGGTTCCTGCAACATAATAAGGACATAGAAAAAAATCAATTGAACAGATATTATTTGGTTGTGATCGTTTTCACATGTTTGCTGTTTTCAGAGCTCCTTTCTATTTTAGATGAGCGCAGTTCGAAGGAATGCTTCCGCTTTTTGCTTTTCCCTAGTGCTGGCGTGGAATACATGTTGCGGAACACAGCTGGCTGGGTGGCGTTGCCTTAGCACTCTACTGCACTGGCGATGGTTTTGTTAGTTGGGGTCGCTTGTGTTAAAAAACAAAAAAAGTCACGTGTGTTTAATAATGAATATGCCCCCCAGAATGCTAACATAGAGTATCCTCGGTGGGCTACCAACGGAGTAAAATACTGCTGTAAATGGATACTGTCTTCTCCTGGAAGTCTTCCGGTGATTGGATTTTATTTTTTGTTGCAGGCCCAGCTCACAGGCCATCATCTATGAAACATATTTCTTTTCAAAATTAACCATTTCCTTCCCTCTGTTCCCTTCACACTTTCTACCTCTATTTAGCATTTAACTTCCCTGCCACAAGTTTGAGTTCTTTGAGATTATTTTTTGATGGATGTGAAATCTTTGTTTCAATCTTACTCACCTTCATATTTAGGACCCTACAAGGAATTAAGTGATTGTTGAATTTAATTAAAATTCCATCCAAAGATAGTCATAACCCATTAGAAAACCTAAAACACTTGAATTTCTCCACAACACCACACCCTTAAACTCTGCAGTGATTCAGGTTAACAGGTGAAGGTTTTCCTGAAACAGATATGTTCCTTCACCCGCTGAAAATTTGAAACAGGTGCCAGTGTTTAATGGGTCGAAGATTCTTCTATTTCACATCTGAGATGAATCTCCTAGCCATCTTTTTTTAATACTGTTTTTCATAAATTTAATATCGTGAGGTACCTTAAATATAACAGACATCCTAGATATCATTTTCACCAGAAACACATTTTAAAACACCGCTGCCCATTATTTTCTTTGATATTTGTTGCTGTCGTTGTTCCTGGCATATTTTAGCTCTCACTAACACTTCGGGTTCTCTTGATAAACAGGATTTGGACATTTTCTTACAACAGACAGATGGGTGTATTCTCTGGGTATTATTTCTAAAATGAAGAAAATGTTCTCCTTTACCAGCATCTGGGTAAGATTTGGCGTTCTGTGACAGATTTAAAATATAGACAGAAATAATCATCTCTCTTCCACATAAGGTGTCTCTGCAAGTAATTTTTCCTATTCTTTCTTTCTTTTTTCTATGTGGAGGTACCCCCTGGCCGCCTTTCAGAAGGACAGATCATGCTCCCCAGTCCTCTCCCTTCCTGTAGACCCAGGCATGGGACTAGTCTCAGGGGCTCACAGGCCTGTCCCCGGGGGTTGCTTACCGGAGAGTCTTCCAGCTATCTTTTTCCCTGCGGCTTTCAGGACCTTCACTTTCAAAGGAGGCGATGGAGAGCGCTGCGAGATGAGAAGCCCCTCAGAACCCATGTCCACGTGCAGTCAGTCTGCACACCACGCCAGTTAACCCTTCCTAGGGGAGCAGCCGGGCAAGGACAATGACCTCTGGGGTCTGGACTTTTCCACAAGTCTCTGTTTCATGAGGTGATAGGCCCCATGAGATCTAGAGCTCCCAGCTTCCTCCTTAGGGACTTAGGGACTGCAAAATTTCTGGTCCTGCAGCACTAGCCCAACCACGCTCTGGCTCTCTCAGGTGGCTTCCAGAGCCCTCTCTCTCCTTGTCCTCATCCTGTCATCTACCCACTGCCCAACCTCATGTACTCACCCCTGTGGGCTGAGCTGCTCCTGTAGAACATGAGGACAACGATCGGGCCCGCCTCCCAGGGCAACCCCATGAGGGCCGAGGCCCTGGATGTGGGGGAGTCAGGGTGACATGTACGGTGGTGTGGGGACATGGGTGTGCTGCCACGGGGAGCTGGGCCTCACCTTCCTCGCTGTAGATGGGTGCCGTGAGCAGGTAATTCTGAATCTTCTTGTCCTTCTGGAAGGGACACTCTACCTGAGTCCATGTCATGAACTCCTGGATCCGTCTGGAGATCTCCCAAAATTTCTGAAAATACAGAAGACCAACTGGATGTTCATTTGTCATTTTCAGCTTGAAATCCTTGGTTAGGGTTAGGTTCTGGCTTCATTCTGCATCCCAGCAAGATGGGACAGTGACCCTAGTCACCTGACTTTGTGGCCACGGCAGCACTTGATGCAGCATGAGAGCCAGTAAGTGTCCCCAAGACCACTCTGCTTGCTCTTTGCCTAGACCATCAGGCTGTGGCAGGGTCTGTGCCCTGCCTGTGTAAGACCCAAGAGGTCCCCATCTGAGACTCCAAGCTGAGGCACGTATGCAGGCCACACCTGGCACAACACCACCAACCAGAACATGCCCTGATCTCACTCTTTAGGGCCTGTGTAAGGATCCCGAATTCCTTCATACCCCTTACCTGTGTGAGGTAAACACTGGACAACCTCACTTCCCCTACACCTCCCCGATGACCTTTGTCCTACCTTCCCACCCTTGGCCGGCGACCCTTAGCTTCCATCTGGAATTCTGTTGCTGCTTCCTTCCTGCTCAAGTCCCTTCTTGCCTAAAAGCCTTCCTCCCTCCCAAACCCCCAGAAGGTATAGCCCCCTTCTCTGTCTACCTGTTGGGACCAGGGTCCTGGGTAAATACAAGCTCCCGGTGGCTCCAAGCCCTATAACCAGAGCATCCACCCAGAAGGGTTGGGGTCACCCTGATACTTCATAAACAGCACACACAGCCCCCTGGAGCTTTCAGTCCTAAAGGCCTTTCTGTACCAGGGTCACCGCCTTGCAGCCTAATGGCACAGACTGTCTGCCCTGCCTTGTGTTGGGACAGTTTGGCCCCCCTCCCCTTGGACCACAAGGGGGCTGAGCTCACCTTGAAGTTAACATGCCCATTGGGCAGGTGGTTCGTATGGATTTTGTGTAAGAAGTAAAGGTCCTTAACAAAAAGGTTGAACACAGGGATGACAATCTTCTCTGGGCTGCTCTTAGCCATCTGGGACCTTTGCGTGGCCCCCTGCAGGGCGGTGCGATAGTTGCGGAAATTGCTGCATGGGTCCATGTGGCGCTGTGGGCAGATGGGAGGATGTGGTGGGCCGGGCTCTCCCTGCACCTGACTTGTTCAGAGTCCCCCTTGAAGGTCAGGAAACTGATGGGGAAGGTACTGCCCCACTGGGCAGCCTGGACCGTCACCAGAGGAGGCCTCCTTACCAGGAGTGAGCATCTGGCTCAGCACTGCGTCTGGGCCCAAGCACCATCAGGAAAGTTAGAGAAGTCTCACAGCTCACACACACCTCTTCCCTGCCCTGCTGAGCCTGGGTCTCCCTTTCCTTTCAAAACCTTCCACTGCCCCTCTCCTGGGGCCAACACCTCCCAAACCTGACAAGCTCTGCAAGATGTTTATAGAAAGTGGATTCTGGGGATGCCTGGGTGGCTTAGTGGTTGAGCGTCTGCCTTTGGGCTCAGTGCATGATGATCCCAGGGTCCTGGGATCGAGTCCCACATCACGCTCCCTGCGGGGATCCTGCTTCTCCCTCTGCCTAGGTCTCTGCCTTTCTCTGGGTCTTTCATGAATGAATAAATACAATTGAAAAAAAAAGGGGATTCTGTGATCAAATATATTGGGGAAGGCCTGTCGACTCCTGGGCCACCCAGATAATCCAGGACCACAGGAATTCAAGCCAGGAAAAGGCCGGTCTGCTTAGTCAGCATCACCCAGCACAGGGCTCATGGGCCCATGTTTCTCAACCTGATTCCTAACCACTCTCCAGAACTTGCTTTAGGCAATGCCAGTTCTGACTAAAGTCCCAAGGGCTGAGGAGAGCTTCAGCTACCCACCTCCTAGAGCAGCCAGGCCAGCTCAACATGCCCTACACCAGATGGCACTGTGGGCAGTGGGTTCTCAGCAAGGGGGCAGAGCATGATGGGACGCCCACCCTTCCTCAGGCCAATGCAGGATGAGGCTGAGGTTCCTACCTCCAAGACCTCAAATTTGGCCATCTTGACTTTGGACCATGTTTTCTTCAGCCTCGCCACAGGACTGAGGTTCATGCCACCTGCAGGGAACAGCGGGTAGGGTCAGGATGGCGGTAGGCAGGCCACACAAGAGCTGGCTAGGGAGGCCCGGGGCCTGGACACTCACCGATGATGGCCATCATGGAGTTGAAATTCCCGATGTTGAAGCACCCCTGGGCCACATCAATAAAGAACTCGAGCATGCGGGTCTGGTGCTTCTTCTTCACCATATTGAGAGCAGCCAGACAGCCTCACGAGTATGCTGGAGAAGACGACAGAGGTCTGGGGCGTAGTTTCCTGGGAAGAAGTAAAAGGCATCACAGGCCCCATCGCCAGGCCCTCCTCCTCCTAGGCTGGCCTGCATCCTGAGTGTGTGCAGGTACACGGTGAGAGCCCCACCAGGAGGCTCTCACCAGGGCCAGGAGGGGCACCCCAACCATGGGTGGGCATCAGAGGTGGGCAGGCAGGCCCCCTGGCAGCCCTGCAGCTACTGGGTATCTGATAAATGTTTCTTCAGCACCTGCTCTGTGCATAGCAGGCCCCATTCCCACAGCCTGGACACACAGAACCCTGCCTCCTGGGGTTACATCCCAGTGAAGAAGAGAAAACTATGGAGGAGAAGACCAAGCATGTAGGGGTGGTCAAAGCAGCCTCAGGTGGTACCGCTGGGATAGACTGACACTGTTAGTCATGCAGCATGCTGGGATAAGAAAGGAACATTCTAGGCATAAGGGACAGCAGGTGCCAAGGTCCTGACACCAGGGTGTGTAGAGGGAAGGAGCAGGGAGAACGGTCTGAGGAGTAACAAGCCAGACTATGCACACCTAGGCTGGGGGCAGGGGGCCATGTGCACCTCCTCTGAGTGAGACAGCAGGCACAGGGACTCCGAGGGACTCAGGGTGAAGGTCACTATTTCTGCGGTGTGGAGGCCCAGCAAGGGAGGGATCTGAAAACCAACTGGTGGGTTTTGCTATAACTCAGGAAGAGATGGCTCAGATCAGGTGGTAGAGGAGGGAAGCAGGGTCAACTCCGGATGCTGTAAAGGATGGTCTCGGGCCTGAGGATTAACCAGCACGGGGAAGAACATGAGGGTGGGGTTTGAGGAAAGATGTGGAACTTGCTTTTGGAGCTGAATTTGAACTGCCTATTAGACATACACATCAGACAGCAGTCTTGGGTGCTCAGGGCTCCCACAGCTGCAGCTGCCCACAGCGGCCTGGCAGGACCAGGAGGAGGGTGCCCACCTCACCCTGCAGCAGGGCCTCTACTGGAAGTCTTCATGAGGTCTACGAGACTCTGCAGCCCTCCTGGGCCTCCACTTCCCAGTGCCCGGGGCAGCTGTCAGTGCCTGGGAGGTGCTGCACGGGGCTCAGAGGGAGGCACATTTGCCAGCCCAAGGCCTCGAAAGTTACAGCCCGTGTGCGTGCTCCCCCTCCTGCCAGCCAGAGTGGCCTGTGCTACTGGCTGGACTAGTCTCACCCTCTCCCCACTTAGAGGGCAGGCAGGTCTAGGTTGGAGCAGAGGAACGGGGCACCTTCTTGAGCTCTCTCCGTATCTAGTGAGCACTGAGTACTGGTGAGCAGGCCCCAGTGCCCCAGCCCTGGCCTCCCCAGTCAGCCATGCTGCTCTGCTTCCCTAGGGGTGGAGGCCACCTCCTCCTGTTTAGGGGAGTGGAAACTGCATACGCCCTCCTTGGGCTCCCATAGCGCTCACCTCTGCTGCTGCTGCTCCTCCCAGCTCTCGCCTGCTTTCTGATCCAAACTGGGGCAGGCTTCTGAGCCAGTGTGGCCTCAGTTTACCCAATGAGCAAACAGTAGTCATGAGTATTTTATTGCTAGGAGAGGACCCTGGCTCTCCAAGGTCTACACAAGCAGATCCAACTTCCACCCCACAGCACATCAGCTGAGCCTCACATGAGGGAAAAAGGACACTCAGCCTAAATAACACAGATTTACCTGCAAACACCTGAAGACTGCCTTAGAATTCCCCAAAACTTCGTTGTAAGGAGAGTGAACACTCAAGAAAAGCCCCAGAGATTGAAAGGTCCTTGATCCCCAGGCTCAGCTGCCTCACTTGGGGATGGGGTTTCAGACTCCCAGAACACACCCCTCAACACCTGCTGGCATGCACACTCTCAGGCCCTGGCCCAGACCTGCCAGGTCAGAAACTCAGGCACTGTCTTCCATCTGTGCATTACCGAGCTGTCTGGGGGCTTCCGAGGGGGCTCAAGTCCACATGCCTCTGGCAGCCACCTGACCACACCTCGCACCTGCCCATGGCCAGCCCTGCAGTCATCACCCCCTCCCCCCCCCGGGGCTCTGGTCCTCCAGTGCACCCCACCACACCCTGTTCATCACAGCCCAGAAGACCACAGGATGGAGCTGCCAGGAGGGGCCCATCCCTTCGGCTTGGGGCAGCAGCCCCTCCTGCAGCATCTGGGCTGAGAACCCCATGACTATCCCCCCAACTGTACAAGATCCCATAGTGCCCATTTTTCAAGGACATCAATATAGGCTTACATAAGTGCACAGAAATGTGTGGCCGTCACCACCACACTAATCACAGACTTCACTGCAACGGAACTGGGGAAGGATGAGACTCACTTTCCATTCTACACATTTGCAAGCTATTTGGTAGCTTTTCTAAATGGTACGTCCGTTTGTCATTTTTTAAAAAAATAACTTTGAAAAAATAAAATAACTGTTTTTTAGCGCAAAGCAGCTGACTTTTGAAGTCAGTACTTTTTATAAAAGCACATTAAAGAGGCTGATGCCCATGGGGCTGGGCCTGTGGATAGAAGCACAGCCACCACCTGGATAGAAGCACAGCCACCACCTCACGGAGAAGGCAGGCTTCAAGGCGGGGGCCTGGAACCCACACAGAGAACAGGGAGGGCCCACAGGGGCTGTATGGGACCACCCCAGCATCCATCCTGCCCGGGACCCACCCAGGGATGCTGCCCACATGTCCTCCTCTCTCCCCTCCTCTGTGTACTGAGTCCATGGCTCCTGTCAGAGCCCCTTCTTTGCTCCCTTCTCTGTCCCTAACAGAGCCCCCACCCAGCCATAAGCGTTGAGGGGTCTCCAGGCTCAATGCCAAGTGGGCAAAGATTTCGAGCACCCTCCGTTTTGAATCTCACTACACAACAGCCAGCTCCTTGCCCCTGGACAAATCTAATCTGCCTCAATTTCTGTAGCCATTAAGTGGAGATGAGGACAACCCTTGCTGAGCCCCCTGCCTGCCTGGCATTTCTGCTGGCCACCCCCCTGGCCTTGTGGTCCCTTCTGTTCTTGCAACTGGGGTCCTCCTCTCCCATCCCAGCAAGAGCAGAACTGCGTCACTGGCCACACTCCTTCGTGTCTATTGTCCTGACTGGCCCACTTCTCAAGGAAGGGCCACTCAGAGTGGAACGCCCAGGATATCTGGGCTCCTGTCCTGATGAGTAGCACACAGCAATCGCAATCATAATAGAAACAAAGCTCAGGTTGAGGACCTCACACAAGCCATCAGTGACACCAATGCTAGCACTGAGCCCCTCCTTAATCCTCATAATAGGGCGCTTGGATGGCTCAGTTGGTTAAGCGTCTGCCCCCACTCAGGTCAGGGTCCCAGTGTCCTGGGATCAAGTCCCACTTCGGCTCCCTGCTCAGTGGGGAGGGGGGGGCTGCTTCTCCCTCTGCACCCCATTGTGCTCATCCTCTCAAAATCTTTTTAAAAAATTCTCACAAGGGATCCCTTGTGGCACAGTGGTTTGGCGCCTGCCTTTGGCCCAGGGCGCAATCCTGGAGACACGGGATCGAATCCCACATCGGGCTCCCGGTGCACGAAGCCTGCTTCTCCCTCTGCCTCTCTGTGGGACTATCATCATAAAAAAAAAAAAAAATTTAAGCTGTTAGAGAGAACACACCCTTTGGAGGGAGAGCTGGGGTGTATAAGGAGAACCATCGGTGCTCCTAGTGTTGGCTTCTGCTTCTGGAGAGCGAGGAAAGGTAGGAGGGGGTCCTTCTTCTGTCCAGGTGAGGTCCTGAGGTGGGAATCAGGGCACCTGTGGGGGGGGGAAGAAAAGAGACCTGGCTGTGGGTCCTGTCCTTCCAAGGAAGGGGTGGGGGTCAGATCCCAGCAGCGCTTTGGACCGGGGTATGCCCCCAGGTCCTGTTGCCCATTCGCACTGAGTCTCCCTAGTCCTGGCTGGCAGAGGTGGTCAGAGTATGGACCATCAAACACTACAGATCAGGCAGAGATGGAGTGACCTGACCCAGGACAATGCCCTGGTGCCCACCAGTGGTTAAGCTGCCCAGGAACCACCATGTCCCTTCCAGACCGGATTGTTGCAAGACCTTCCGAACAACACCTGCACGGCCGGGGAGGTCACCCACGGAGGGCCGTGCCTAAAGAGCCGGTGAGAATTCACTATAATGCAGTCGAGAGGAAAATCCGACCAGTTTCTGTCACACACACACACACACACACACACACACACGCACGCACGCACGCAGAGCACTTACACAGCTCGAATGTGGAGTGATGGCTCTACCAGGACACGTTACACGTTTAGGAATTTCATTTCGCGTTTGGAACACCGGCAGCCTTCTTCACTCACGCAACATAATCTAAGAGGGCTTAGGATTCTTTGTCTGACAGCGCTGCTCACGTGCCTGCCCATAACAAGTCAACGACCTATAGTAGTCAAGAGACTCCGTTTAGGGTTTGGCATTCTGGGATCCGCTGAGAAATCCGCGAACGGATGAAGGAACCGGTAGACAGACAGACAGCCAGGCAGCCAACCAGCCAACCAAAAACATCTCAGAAGTTCTCAAGGCACATGCTACAAAGGATCACGGATCATAACAAAACGGAAATCTTCAGTGTCTCTTTCGCCAAGGTGGCCCCTAGGAGATTCTACAGGTGCTTTTGTCTTCTGGCCAGATTCATTGCTCTCGACCATTGGCTGTGTGCAAAAAATTTCCGAGTAGCCTAGTTCCTGGGTAGTCTATGGCAGCATGTGAAAGCAAGCCAACACCTGCTTTCCACCTTAATTTTAATAAGGGAGCACACATCACATTCCTCACAGGGTAAAAAAAGCATTGGGCACCCTGTGATAATTAAGGAAACAAATAAGTAGTATTGTATCATCCAGTTCTAGTCTCCAAAATTAATAAAACCTTCAGTCTGTCCTTAAAATTAGTGACCTCTAGCAGAAACAATTGTATACATATCTTTGGCAATGGTG